TAGCCTCAGAAGAGGTCAGTAGGGGTTGAATTGGAGGAGCCATAATAGGGAGGAGTTCACAAGGCGCAGAAAGTTGGTGGGGTGGGCCGCTCGCTTGCGTGGGCCGCTCGCTTGCCAACCATGTTACACGCAGTATGAAAGGCATTCTACACTCCCATGTTCCCGGGAAAGTCAACTCGGTTTTGATCTTATATTTGTGAAGAACACCGAACACTCTACCCATGGACAACGCGTCCTTCTGGAATGCCTTTTCATCGTCGAATGGTGCTCTTCGTATACAGTCGCGGCGGTTCCCTGATGTTTTTGCAGAGTACGTATATTCCCACGGAATGTCGAGGGTAAGGTGCTTCAGCTGCCCAGTCAAGCCAGATGGCTGGAACGCCTCGAAGAACCTCGGTAATGTGGTGATCTGCGAGTAACTCGGCTCACAAAATGCGATTCTGTCACGACTCTGAGTCCATTGAAATTGTACGAACCGGAAGTAGTACTGCAGTAGCTCTTTCCGTATGTCCTTATCTTTGCAGAAATTCGATGTAAGCATCCTATAGATCTGGTTTTCACTACGGCTGATGCACCGATCGCAGTTCTCAAGATTCCGTTTCTTCCACTCTTTGTCGGAGATTTTTTCATAGGATGTTTCCTCATCTGATGTCTCGCCATCTGATGTTTCCTCATCTGATTCCGAGGTACTGTCCTGCCTCAATTTGTCTAGGTCACAAGGAAGTGGCAGGATGCTAGGCGGATGAAGTCCCTCGTACTTGATGCATGGCGTACTATACATAATATGGATGTCGTCCTTGTTATCTGGACGGTACAGAATTTCAGGCAAGTTGGCTGGGTCCATCTCAGGAAATGCCTGCTTGTATACTTCGAAACGACAGTCCACGTCTAGCTTTTCCTTGAAGAGTTTCATGTCGATGGCGATGAGATTCGTTGCTTGCTGAAGCTGCTGGTTCCTTGGTGGGCTCATCTGGCTGGTCTGGTTCTGCTGGCTCGACGACACTGATGTGGTCTCGATTGCGACTTGATCCTCCATGACTGAGATGCTGTTCAATATCGTTATGTTCGTCGCTGAAATGAAATCTAACCCAGTGAGGGTATATAACCATGCGGTAGTTGACATTGTTTACCCTGCTTCTCATTTACAAGCACGTTGTGGATACCCAGTTGGGCAGATAACATCTTTGATGCGATTGTGAAGAAGTGACAAAGCCAAGATCTTGCTCTTGGACCTTGCCCGCTAGGAAATGGCCTTTTGCCAGAATTCTGGCTTCTTGAGACGGTGGACAAGGAAAGCATCGTGAATGAACGTTCTCGGTATCTTCTGGTCACATATGATAGCCACCGTCAGGCTCCTGTTAGGAGCGCAGCGAAGATGTAAAGAAAACGCCTTCATCCTGTACAACATTGGCCAGGACGGAAGCCGGGTCGCTTATAGTACATGAACAGGTCGATCGCTCGAATCCGTGTCGAAATATGCATATGTTGATATCAGTCAGTAAAGAGAAATCGTTGGACGTGTTGATAGGAACGCGCGAGAAGTAAGTGCAAATAGCGGAAGTAGATGAGAAAAGGTTTCAGCTCTTAGTCATCTCAACAAAACGATAATAATACGAGCTTTATCGGTGTGTCAACACGGGACGGCCGAATGATCGGTGGTATTCCAGCTATTCCCGTGGCTTAGGCATCGTGAAAGCTCAACTGGCTACCTGGACGACCTCATGTTCTTCGTGCTGTAGACCGCTGGGGGGAATTTTTTCGAACGCGTACCGAGTATCATAGGTAGTGGTTGTGGTAAAGCGCTTCGTGATGGTGTTGGTGGTTCCCACGAAGAACGTGGACCCTGGAACTGTTCGTTGGCGGCTTCTTCTCCGCCCAAGCTTCAAGCCGATGACGACTGTCGCGTCGGCTTTCTTCCATCGTCATCACCATCACCCTCAACGCCATCACACGACAACAAACCTCATCGCGCCAGCAGTCGCATCGTTCGGAATTCGGAATAGATAGCAGCGCATCGCGGACACGGAAATAGCTGACTCGTGCTCACCGCAAATAGCGCATGACCACGAGCGGCTAGCTGTGATTGCGGGGTGCGCCCTTCCTGTGGACTCAGCATGCGAGCAAGCATGAGCGTTCGTGACTGTTCCTGCTCTTCTTCTCTTCACTCTGCGGCTTTGACTAGCATGCATCCTTCGCTATCACCGCCGCCATGACAGAACACCGGCTACCAGTTAAACAACTGGTGATTCTATGTACGTACGCGCGACGCGTCCTCTTCTGCAAGCTTGCTAACTTCACCATAGCAATATGCCGCTTTGCCGAGCCCATCGCCCTCACTTCCGTTTTCCCATACGTGCCCGAGCTTATGGAATCATTTGGTATTCCTCAAAATGATATCGCGCGCTGGGCTGGCATCTCGTCGTCGGCGTTCTCGTTATGTCAAGGCTTCACCGGCCTCGTCTGGGGTGCTGCATCCGATCGCTATGGAAGGAAACCAATCATATTGTTTGGGCTGTTCAACACCATGTGGACAATGCTGCTATGGGGCTTCTCGCTCAACCTACCTATGGCTTTGGCTGCACGCGCCCTGGGAGGACTGTCAAACGGCAATGTAGGCATTCTTAGAACTACAGTCGCGGAACTGTGCCCGTGGAAAGAGCTCCAGCCGAGAGCGTTCAGTGTCATGCCCTTGGTTTGGACAGTGGGTGCGACGTTTGGACCTACCCTCGGCGGAGCCCTAGCCAACCCGTTGGGTGTCGATCCTCGGAAACCCAGAGGCACTGCTTTACTGGAGAAATTTCCGTATTGTTTGCCAAACCTTGTAGCGGCTGCATTCTTCACTACGGGTATCGTAATAGGCTGGCTGTTTCTCCAAGAAACTCTGGAAAGCAAGAAGAACGCACCAGACCTGGGCCTGAGAACTGGGGCTAGATTGATAGCATTCATTCGCAAGATACTGCACCTGCCGACCCAAAAGCAGAACGGCAATTCAGAACGCGAGCCGCTGCTCGGTCAACAGAAAATACTTGACAGTGAAGCGACACCACAGCATGAGGTTGCTCATGAGGTAGTCAAGGAAAAAGCACCAAGATACAGGGATGTGTTGACATTTCAGACGTCGCTAAACCTTGCCGTGTATACGTTGCTCGCTATGTACACCCAGGCATATGATCAGGTACGAGATTTCTGGCAGCTGAAGATACTATGGCTGATCAAACGTAGCTACTTCCAGTGTTCATGCACCACCCAGTACAACTCGCAGACGATCCAACCGTATCCTTGCCTCTGAAATTTGCAGGAGGCTTTGGTATCGAGTCTCGACGCATCGGCATCATTTTTACTGTGTTTGCCATATCGTGTACCATGTGTCAATTCTTACTTTTCCCTCCTATCGCGCGCTATCTCGGTGTCGTTCGCTGCCTCCGAATAGCATTTCTCATCTTCCCATTCGTCTTCTTCGTAACACCATTCTTATCACTTATCCGAGATCCAATCACCAGGGAAGTCGCCATGGTGTTGCTCTTGATGGTCAGAGGAGTGGGTGGTACATTTGCTTTCCCTACCAGTACTATCATGCTCACGAACAGTGCGCCTAGTCTACGTGTTCTAGGGACCATCAATGGTCTAGCGACGAGTTTCAGTGCTTTTGGCAGAGCAGCTGGACCCACTTTGGGAGGCGGCTTGTTTACTTGGGGTGTCAAGCGTGGCTATGTCATCGTACCGTTCTGGACTATGTCTGCGATCGCATTCGCTGCCTCTATACCAACATTCTGGCTAGTTGAGGGTAAAGGGTTTGGAGACGACTCAGATATCGACGACGAAGAGAACATCATCGAGACGGAAGAAGAGATCGAAGAAGGCGCAAGGGTGCCCACAGCAGCGTGGCATGATGATGCTGCATTATCTGAATCAGAGTTTGGCGATTTCGGAGAGCCACCAAACATACTGAGCCTTACGACGACGCGATCGAGCGTGGCCATGGCGTCTGATGATGAAGATGACGCGTCGGTTTCGGTAGGACGGGGGCAGTCGATCAATGCTTTGGAGGCGACGAGAAGTGGTTCGCAGAGTAGACGGCGGAAGATTGTCAGAAGGACATCCTCGATACCAATCGGCATGGGCAAAGGCTTTAGGCGCTACAGCTCTAACCTTGGCAGCACAGGTATTGGTGGCGGTTCTAGTTGGGGAGGCGCTTAGATCTGGACTTCGGCGTCTCATGCATGGAACATTTGGCGCCAACTGAATCGTCGGGATGTGCTGCAGCATACATTAATACAAAGATTGCGAATATGTTCACCGCGTCCGAAACACCGTTCGGGACCGATATCAGACGACTTGTCCCTCCATTCCTGTCCCGACCTCTACGAAATAGTACATGTTGTTCACCGTAAGTTGAGATCAGCTTGGTGATACTCAGAAGCGAATTATGGGCATCGCGTAGCGTTCTGTGTCTCAGTCATAGGTCAGTTGACACCAAAGCTCATTCATATCGTCCTGGCAAATATTGATCTACCTTATTTGTCTCCCCCCTACGAGTTAGGTCACTAGCGCGCACGAGAATGCAAGAAAACATGACTGGGACAATAGACAGGCAAGGTCTTGCAATTCATTGTTATAAAGACAACTAAAGCAACTGAGAAATAGAACTAGGGGATGACTGCCCAAACAAAAACGGGTACATAACTCAGAAATCCCACAAACCCCAACACCTTAGGATGCTAAGCAATTTGTACAACAGAAACCATACATGTCGACAATTCCACAGATCAAACTCACAAGTGAGAAGACCTTACTAAATCACACTGGAGCCAAGAAACGTATTGTTGCTTGTGCCATCTGCGGAACTAGTTCTATCTAAGCTAGACTGTGCGAGAGGGTTGGGCAGGAGGCTTATTCATCTCAATACAGTCTGCTCTGGATTCCAAGGCCGAACCGGTATTTCCAGATGCAACGCAAGATTGGTCGTTTGTCTTGCGATGATGCAGCGTGCTAGTGGTAGACAGTTGCTGTGTGTTTGTGGTAAGCTGTTGGTTCAATGCCGCTATTAAACGGTGTGCTTCGACTGCCAGAGTGCCCGAACCAAGGAACTTTTCGGCAAGTACGGCCAGCTGAACGAGAGCAGCTGTCAACTTCTCCGACTCTGCTCTTTGCTGCTCATTGACAGCAGCGTTTGTAGTCCGTTGATAATGGTCCAGCAATGTCCTGTGGACGTGGCACGCCAGTGTAACGCCAGCACCGATCACTGCACTTGTCAATGACGACCCCCAATCTGAGCCGGTGTTAGATGGAACATCCCTTTTGATGGCGTGTATGGCACTCTCCGCAACCGGTAGTGTTGACGATGTCCACTTCTGGTATTGTTAGCGATGAACATATATCTGGAGTTGTTTTCACTTGCGATGAACCATGGCAATGCTTGCTCAAATCCAAAATAGAGCACCCATAACCCCAGCAACACGGCTACAAAAAGAGAAACTGGAGCCTTGTAAGGGCCGGGAAGATGTTCGAACGGCGGAAACTCCGTAAGAACGTCAGTCGTCTTCGTTGACAAGAACTGCCACTTTCCCCGTGGTCTGCGCAAGGACAGCCCGTTGGCAACAAGCTTCGTTGCAAGGCAAGCAAAGCATTCCAAGACCAAGAAGTATGGTTCCGTTTCCGACGAGGCAAGTTGGGAAATGGCAAGAGCAAGAGCAACACCCATGCCAAACACCTGGATCTTGATGACCCGCCATTCTCGTGCGCTCCAAGTTCGCGACGATGTTGATCCCAGCGCTCCTTGAGAGTCTCGGAAAGGTGCAAAGATCGGTTCGAGGGCCTTCGTGGCGTTGATGAAAGATACAAAGTTCAGAAGAGAGGCGATGATGATCCTCAGCCAGGCATCGTTCGGCCTAACAGCTGTCGTAATCACGGTGGACATAGCTACAATCGCTTCGAGTGGCGTGGTGACTAGATTGGTAAATTTCGTTGTATAGTCTAGAGATGAAGTGACTGAAAGCAAGAAAGTGCTATTGTAACTTGGTAGTAGGAGAGTGCTAT